CTGGCAGACACAACACCAACCACAAACCCAGAATTCGGGAAGGGCAAACGAACCGAAGCCAAACAAACAGAAAAACACCAAAACCACCCAAACCAGGCGAAAGCACCAAATGGTGCAGGGGGCAGGAGCTGGCTCCCCCTTGCTTCCAGCCCTTCTCCCAGCCCTGGCCACCCAGCCAGCTCTGCCTGAGCCCAGGGGGATGTGAGAGTTCCTGTGAGAGCCTGGCATTTGGACTTTTGTTTGTCCCTGCTGGACACGTGCTGTGTGGTAACACTTGTTCCAAACACATAATGGGAGCACACGGGCAAATTCTGGACAGAAAATGAGGTAAGGGGGGGGATTAAAAGGCAGAGGAAATCATGGCACCCATTGGAAACAAGTCTCGAGAAGCTAAAAGAGGGGAATCTAAGCCTTAATAGGCTACATTAAAGTTATTTCCTTTTAAATGGCAGTCTGGGAAAGAACCTGAACAGCACCACGGCTCCTGTGCAACAGCATCAGGCAGAAACCCAGGCTGGAAGCACCCGTCCCACAGGGGACAAAAGCCAAGCTGCTCCTTCATTGTGCCTTTCCAGGGCTGCTCCTGGCTGCTGAGGGACAACTGGGCCCACAAAATCCCACAAACGCTGGGTTTGTTTTATTTTTAATGTCAGAGCGACGTTAATGCAAACGGGTAATTAACGACTCCTCTGCTGCAAAATGCTTCAATCAGCCACTTCCCACAGCAGGAGCTCCAGTGGGGGCTTGGACAGAAACTCAGAGCTGCTGCAGCTTCCCATGGAATAAATAAAATAAAATCAAGAGCCTTGTTCTGCTCCCCGTGTCCCTGAACTGAAAAAGCCACCAGCAGAGTCTCCTCCCCGGGCCATCCACTGTCCCTTCCCAGAGAACCTGCCAAGTCTCCACCCTGGATTATGCTCCCTAAAAACAGAAGTATCCTACTCCAGAGGTGCTCTGGCAAGTCAGCATGGCCACACTCTCATTAAATTTATCTGACCCGAGCTGAAGAATCCCAATTATGCCAGCAGCAGATTTTCTCAGAAGGGTTTGTAGCTCAGTGTTTTGGTACCTCAGTTATTCAGCAGAAGGAGAGCAAGGAGACACTTATTGACTTTTCCAGGTGAACGAAGCAAAAAGTGCTGTTCCAGTAAGCAGCAGCAATAAAACAGCAGCAATAAAATCCCATTTCTTTTCCTGCTTCAGGGATTTGTGGAACCTGTGCCTTGCGGTGTCAGATGATTTTAAAGAGCTGCGTTTATGACCCAAACCAAAAGCCAGGAAGAGGAGGCAGCTGTGCCCCCCCCACAGCACCCCCAGCAACATCTCAAGCCCCTTCCCTATCCCAGTGAACATCCCAGCCCTTCCCTCCACGCTGCAGGGGAGCCTCAGGGAATTCACAAAAAGCCAGGAAAAAACCCAGCCCAGCAGTGCCAGGGGCTGCACAGGGGCACCCCCCGATGCCCACTCAGCCCTGAGTGCTCCAGGCTTCTCCCACCTGGAGAGGTGATGCAATCCCTGCACGGAATTGGTCACTCCTCCAGGGATGCTTGCTGACAAATTAGCTGCAGCTCATTAGGCTGCCCAGCTAATTGCTGCAGCCCGGGCTGCCTGGGAGCCTCGCAGCAAACCTCACCCTCACTGCTCTGCTGGGCAGCCCCGGGAGGAGAGAGGGCTGCGAGTCACAGCGCCCTCCTTCACAGCAGCAAATCCCTGTTCTCACATCCTGCAGAGAGCCAGGAGGGCACGGGGAAATGCAGAGGAAACATTTGTCACGCCAAGCAGAACGCTGGAAACCACTCGGGTCAAAGAGGCTCCCGACTGCAATAATTTCGATCGTGTAACCACCTAAAAAGCTCTTCTGGAGTAGCCAAGGGGATTGCCTGGAGCTGGGCTGTCTCTCCGTGGCTTTTCCAAAAGTTGTCCCAGCCATCCACGGAGAAGGAAAACTCCTCGGTGAGACACCTCCTACCCTTCCTCCTGTGAGCATTCCTCACAAGGGAGGAACTCATGCCTGTGCCCAGCAGACAAACCCAATCTGAAAATGCTGAAAAGGCCACCCTGAGACCGTTTCATTTCTGCCATCCTGGACAGCACCCTAGGATCTCTATTCCCGTGATTCTGTGACACAAAGGCTCCCAACTCTGAGCACCCAGCACACCTTGGGAACACGGGAGCAAGGAACAGGGATCCCATCGGTGCCTCCCTCCCAGCTGACACCTCACCCACTTCCCCAGCTCAGGAGCGACACACACGACAGCAAAGCCGCGGTCAAGTGTGCCACCAAGAGGCAGAGACGGCCACCAGAGCGGGGAGCAAGAACAAAGAGCAGCAGCAGCAGCCTGCAAAACATCCAGGGAAAACCAGGGAGGGATGGGCAGTGAGGGGGTAAAAAATATCCAGGGAAAGCACGGAGGGATGGGGAGTGAGGGGCTGGAAACACCTGGGGAACCCTGGAGCTGCAGCAGGACTTGTAGGATTTTCCAGGAGAAAAACCCTGCCTCTCTGTTCTGATCTATTTAAAAGGAGTGTTTTCCAAAAGCTCTGACTTTCCAGGAGGGAGGGAAACCCAGGGGCAATTCCTCCTTTCCCTGTTCCACCTCACAAACAACCCATCCTGTCCGGTTTCCTAAAAGCACCGTCAGCAACTCCCAAAATTTCCCGGGTGTCCCCGTGCCCTTTGCTGCCACCGCTCCCGGCAGAGCTCAGCCCTGGCTCTCGCTCCTGGAAGTGTTTTTGGGCAACCCAAAGGACATTTCCCAACTTTTTCCACGAGCCCCGAGCCGCTCCTGTGAGACAATCACCACTAAGAGCCTCCAGCCCACGCTGCACCCGCGGTGCCGGGGCAGCAGCCTCGGGCAGCCCCTGGTGGCCCGGTGACCCGGCCAGCGGTGGCCCAGGGTGGCCGGCTCGTACCTGGTCGTCGCTGGTGAGCCCCAGGCGCAGCACGGAGTACAGGTGCAGCAGAAAATCGCAGTTGGGCTGCAGGTCCTGGCGCCGGCTCATCATGGCGCAGAGCAGCCGCAGCGCCTGCAGCTTGCCCGGCTTGTACTCGCCGGGCAGCGTGGCCGCCTGCAACACAGCCCTGCATCAGCACACCCCTGCATGGCAGCCCCCCCAATAAACAGCCCCCCACACACAGCACACCCGAATTCTGGCCCCTCCCAAAAGCCCCAGGCTGCACACCAAGGAAAGGCCAAAAGGAAACGCGTGCCCCTTCTGCTGAGACAGAAGAGAACTCCAGAGCTCACCTTGAAGAGCCACGATGCAAATATCCTGAGAGGAGGGATGAGCACGGGAGGAGAAGGAGTTGACTGATTGTCCACGCTGATGGCGAGGTTGTCCCGGATCTGAAGGTGTTGAAAGGAGAGCGTTAGCACAGCCAGTGGCGTTCTCAGAGGTTTAATTTGACTTCATTTACGTGCAGGGGCTATACAGAACTGCTCCCACTTCAGCCAAAGCTGGTTCCACGCTGCTGCTCCCTGGCCAAAGCAAACATGACCAGTTTGGGCCACGCTGAGGGCCCTGACACAAACACCATCCCTGTGCTTCTTTTTCCTTTGCTGCTGTTTCCTCACCCCATTGAAATCCCCCCTGTCACTGGACGGGATTTTGTGTTGGAATTAGCAGCTGGGAACCCAACAGGACGAAGCCCTCTTACCCTCCATGTGCTTACACTGAATCCCGTTTAATAATCGTTTCCACAACAGAAAAAAAAAATGCGTCATTTCCACCACGTACCTTTGCAAGTTTATACCACAGCTCGTAAAGGTAGGCAAAAACTTTGCCGTGGATCTTGGGCGACTGGATGTTGTTCACATCCCCGAGAATTCCCAGGATCCTCCTCCAGAGCACAGAGGCAGAATCGGGATGCCAGCCGCTGAGGCTTCCACCAGCAATGATGCTGCAGTCATCGGCCAAGAACTCGCTGCTGTCTGGGAATTTTAAAAAGCGTTCCATTCCCACAGGTGAGGGGTGCAGCCTAACCCTGGGTTTGCTCAGTAAAACCCGGTCATTACTGCCCTCCACCCATCTCCCTTCCCACCAGAATTCCCTCTCACTGCTGGAGCTGCTCGTGAGCCAAAGGAAAACGGGGCAAAGGGGCTGGCCCAGGGCACAGCTCTGCCACACCAACCACGCTGTCCCCACCCCAGTGCCAGCAGGGAAATGCAGCTAAATGCAGCTAAATGCAACATTCGGCCACCTGAGGGATGTATTCGATCAATACCTGCCTCTTAATGGGTAATACTGCCACATTTATAAAAGTACTCGTTGTTTTTTGGGTTTTTTTTAAGATCACACACAGAGTAGTAGCAAGACCTGGCAACGCCAGTGGAGAAAGGAATAAAAAAAAAAAACCCACTGAGGCTGAAGAGCCTTGAGAAATGTGCTCGGGCATCACCACTGGCACAGAGCAGCTGCTGAGGGAGCAGAGTGCAGAGAAAGCAGGGCCAGGGCAATGGGATTTCTGTTCCTAAGCCCTGCAAACCCTCTCTGCAGCGCCCACTTTAATGCCAGGCTCCAGGCGCACCTGCAGCAGCCTAGGTGTGCAGGGAACCAACCTGCACGCAGGCAGAGGGAAACAACCCGTGTCCTCTGAGGACTCGGGGAAGGTGAGTGAAATAAAAGGCATTTTAGACTCTTTTATGCCTGAATACATTTTAAAAACAGCACCCTGGGGGATTTTTTTTCCCCCCCTTTCTGTGCTGCAGGATCACAAAGCTCGCTCCGAGCAGCTGCTGTGGAGAGCCCTGCTCACACGAAACGTGAATTAACCACGCCACGGGCAGGTGGGGCCGGGTACCTGTGAGGTTGGCAGGCTCCTGGGAGGGGCTGAGCTGGAGCCAGCGCGGTGCTGCGGGGTCCCCGCCCGGCCCTGAGGCCAGCCCGGCCTCGGCGTCATCCTCTGGCCCCTGCCAGGCCACCAGGGCGATGTCCATGTCACCTGCACAGCCCAGCGACGCCTCACTGCTCAGGCTCGCACCTGCCAACAGCGCAGCACTGAGCAGAGCTGCACACAGGAACAGCGGGACACACCTGCACACACCTGGACACACCTGGACACGGCACAGCCCTGCACACACCTGGACACACCTGCACACACCTGGACACACCTGGACACGGTACAGCCCTGCTCACAGGACACACCTGGCCACAGCACAGTCCTGCTCACACCTGGACACACCTGCACACACCTGGACACAGGACACACCTGGACACGGCACAGCCCTGCTCACACCTGGACACACGGCACAGCTCTGCTCACACCTGCACACACCTGGACACACCTGCACACACCTGGACACGGCACAGCCCTGGACACACCTGCACATACCTGTACACATCTGTACACACCTGCACAGCCCTGCTCACACCTGGACACATCTGTACACACCTGCACAGCCCTGCTCACACCTGGACACATCTGTACACACCTGCACAGCCCTGCTCACACCTGGACACATCTGTACATAGCACAGCCCTGCTCACAGCAGCGCACACCTGCACACACCTGTACACGGCACACACCTGCACACACCTGTACACACCTGCACACGGCACAGCCCTGTACACATCTGTACACAGCACAGCCCTGCACACACCTGGACACGGCACAGCCCTGCTCACACCTGCACACACCTGTACACAACACAGCCCTGCACACACCTGGACACACCTGAGCCCAGCTCACACGTGCAGCTCAGTGCCCCAGAGAGGCCCCAGTGCTGCCCACCCCGGTGCCAGCGCTGTGCTCAGGTGCTGCCCGTGGCCCAAAGGCCCTGGGCACTCACTTTTCTCTCTGTCCCTGGAGCCCCCGGGGGCCACCTGCTCGTCTGCTCTCAGCTCCAGCTCGGCCGTGCTGCTGCTCCTCCTCATCAGCACCTGCAGGCAAACAGCTCACCTGAGCACACACACCTGTGAGCACTGCACAGGCACTGGAAACGATCCACAACCCGCCCAGAACACCCTCATCATCAATATTCACACTGGCCAAGGGTGTGCCAGTGTCCTCAGGAAAACATCCATTCCATTCTTCATCCTCCCCACAGCACCTTCTTCCTGTGTTTTTTCCAACAAATCATTTGTTAAGGTATTAAAAAAAAAAAATAAAAATAAATTCAGCCTTCTTATTTGACAGAGATGATCAGGCTGAGCCGTTCATTGTTTGGACTCCAAAGCTGCCATTAAAAATGGATTAATTTTTCCCCGTGCTCAAGGCAGCTCACAGTGACACCTGCCATGCTGGAGCCTCTTCCTCAGAGCTCTAAACCATCAAACACCCATCCCAGCCAGGAATTATTGCTCTTGGAAAAGTCACCAGCTTCTTGTCCATGTTTAATACTGGATTGATGTCCGTGCACACCCTCACCCTCCCCCAGTGCCTGCATGCTGAAAGGCACTGCAAAAAAAGCTGCTGGCAGCTCATCAGGAGTTATTGTGGGGCTGGCCTTACGTGCTCAGCTTCGGGCTCCTTGGAATATCCCTTATTTTCCTGAGCTGACTTGGAGTCCGAGGTGGAATTTCCAGCCTTTTTACCTAGAGGAAGGAAAGAAGAACTGTAAACAAACGTCTGTGGGAGCAAAGCACACACAGGGAGTCTGGAGTGAACCTCGGCAATGTTTGTGTGTCTCACAGGTAAGGGCCACACAACACTGAAAGGGGACACCAGGATTTGGAAAAAACCCTTCAGAAGCATCAAACACTCACGGGAGAGGAACTGAACTGCCAACTGCAGCTCGAACACACAAAATTCCAAATGCAAGGTGGGTGAGAAAGAGCTCAAGAGCGACACACAAAATGCACACGACATTCCAGGTGTCGTTTTTGGCCTCCCTGCTTTACCAAAGGTCACACCCTGCATTCGTGGTCCCTGACTTCTTAACAAAAAAAAAAAAAAAAAATTATTTCAACGACTTACCAACCATGCAGCGACTAAGCAAATGAGATTTTGGAGGAGAGCTGGAAACCAACCAAAGTCTGGGAGGCCAAAGAAGCCCCAACACTTTTCCCTGAGAAACAACAGCATTGCTGGATTTGATTAAAATTACCTCGAAAAAAATCCGAGGGAATGCGATCTGCAATATCTGAAGTGCTGCTGCTCCGAGGTAGCTGCTGCTGTTGCTCTGCAGCTTCTGCTCCTTCTGCATTTTCCAGCTGCTGGGATTCTTCAACCTCTGTGGATTGAATGCCAGCACAGAGCGTTTGCAGGTGCTCACGCCTAAGAAAGCTCTATGAAAAAGCGACCCTTGCAAAGATCTAAAGCTCCCCAGGCAAAATTCACAATTTAAGTTCCACAAAAGAGCCGCCAGAAAGAGGGGAAGGGAGGAGGAATAAAGAAAAGCAAAAACTCGGAGTAAAAAAAAAAAATAAAAAAGCTCTGAGCTACAAATAGCCTGGGCTCAGCCTGTGAGGACAAACCCAGGCAGGCAGCTTTGGTTTGGCTGTGAAGCAAAAGCAGGAGAGAGAAGCACGAAAATTCCAAAGAGAAATTAAATTGGGACCAAGAGTTTTTCGAAATGCATTTGTCTCAGCATTTGGGGGGAAAAAAAAAAACCCCCAAAAAAGCCACCAAAACTCCAGTGCTTCCACCCAGCAGAAAGTTTTAATATTGCTCTGCTGCTCCATAAACACTGCAGGTATTTCAGGAAGTAATCTCGGGAGGCAGGTGCACAAAAACTGACATTTCTGGTATTTACTGGCCTCAGTGTCTGACAGCAAGCAATAAAATAAAACATGCAATTCACTGACTGGAACAATGCCAGCGTTCCCCCCCCAGGACAACTGGAGATGGAAACACAGCCAAGGTGTTTCAGGAATCCCCACAGGGCCACCAAAACCAAACTTTCCCTTTTCCCCTGGGCTGCAGGCAGCGACTCTGGGCAGGACCCAGCAGTCACAAATCTGTGAGGATTTTCACTGTAGATGCCAGGAAACACCGATCTGATGGCAATCTTTAACATCACCGTGAACAAAAACCTGCGAATGCTCTGAGCACAGCAAGGGAGCAGACAGAGAGCAGTTCAAAAACACCACGAACAGCGACACCAAAGGTGGCTTTAAAGTACAGTACCTGACAGCCTGGGAGAGCAAGAAGTGTAAGAGATACCAGGGAAGAGAGAGCTCACAGTGTGAAGCAGAACAGGCACACTTTTAGTGGCTGGCAAAGCCTCAGAAAGGTGGGCACAGTTGCTGATAGACTGGCTTCGCTTAGCTTCCAGGAAAAAACAGAGCAACAGTGGTGTCAGCAACACGGGGACATCCTGTTCTGAGTGTCACAACACATCCAAACCCAGCCCAAACTTCGGGATAAATGTTCCCAACAGCGAGCCCAGGAGTTCTCCCCTCAGATATAAAATATTGGGCAATAATCAGGGATTTCTGCTCCACAGCAAGTGTGGAAGTGCCTTTATTTTGGACACACACCCACAAGGAAAAGCCCTGGATGAACACTTCCAGGCTCTCCCTACTGCTCTGGCAGGGTGTCAGAGGTGCAAATGCTGCAGCAGGGGAGAGAATCCTTCCCTGGGGCACAGCCAGGGACTCCCTGAATTTGGGAATGAAACTGGGACTGAGCTGGCTCTGCTGCTGAAGAGCTCTGGGACCCAGGCTGGAGGCTGTGGCCCAGCCATGGAGCCAAAACCCCCCCACCCCAGGGTGCTCCCCACTCCCAGGAGCCTGCCCCAGCAAACCAGCACTGCTGGCAGGAAACAAAGAGAGCTTTTAAAGCTGCTGAAATGCCTGAATAAACCAGGGGCTGCTCCCTCCTGTGCCTGGGGTCTGAGCCCTCCTCACCCCCATCTCCCTCCTGCTTTCCTCTTCCCACCAGTAAACCTGCTCGTGCTGAGAGGGACAGCAGATAAAACAAGCATTTAAAACAACTGAGAGAGGATCGTGTTCTTCATGAAACTGTGCTGCCAGGAAATGGCTGCACCAAGATGTGCCTGGCAGTGATAAATGCCTGCCTAGGAAGCAATGCCAGCAGCACTGTGCCTCTCTAGGAAAAACCCCGGGCAGGATCGGCTCCCACTCGTGTCCTGCAGCTAAAATCTCATACAGAGAATCACCCAAAGTGCTTGGATTCACTGGCCAAGACACCCAGGCACGGACATTGAAGCTGTCCCTGGCAGCAGGCAGGGCTAAAATCGGGATTTTTGCCATTTTTGCCAGGCTTGCCCAGCTGTGCCCTCCTCACCTGTGGCTCTCTGGCGGACAATGCTCCTGGCCTTCTCCACTCCTGGAGCCCCAGAGGTGGTGGCACTTCGGAACCTCATGGGCTCCACGACCTCGGGGTGGCTTTTCCAGCTCAAGGAGAAAGATCTTCCCACCACAGCTGTCTTCTGAGGCTCTGAAACGCCACCTTGGACAAAGAGCACAACATTTGCTGGCACTGGGTGACCTGGAAGCCGTTTCTGCTGAAGTACAAATGGACTCAGACAAGGCAAATATTAATAGTTGGACAATACAGGTTAATTTTAATAAATAAAAACCAACTGGTGCTTCAAACCATGTGCATCGATTTCAAGGTGGCGTGAAAATGCAGCTCAAATGAATTAGAAACTTGACTAAAAACGCACAGAAAGGAATTTTGACAGAGTTGCCAGTGCCTGCCAGCAGCACAGAAAACCACAATTCATCCCTGCTATCCCAAAAACCCTGACTGTGAGCCCAGCCACCTCCCCTCCCCAGTGAAGGATGGCAACACACAAACCCAGTGATGCCTTGGGGGTCTCATCTTTTGTATGTTTCAGCATCTCTGCTGCTTTGTGTTTAACTCTGAAACTTCATACGAGGTAGTGGTGAGTTCTGGTCACAGGGTAATGACAAAATAATTCCTTCCCAGCTGGAGAATTGAGGACAACTGGTGCCCAAAAAGCAGAAACAACAGCGAGGGAGAGAGGGCTGAGACTGCACAGCCTGGGGCTGTGGGTGGATCATTGACCCCAATGTTAGATGAATCAAATTTCATAAAAGTGTAAAACTCATGACTGAGATCCATCTTGGATTTGATTGGGGTGTAGCCCTGGCCAGGCTCTTGCACTGCCCAAAGTGAATCCTTGATCAATAAATTCCTATTTTATCCTTTTAATAAATTCCTATTTTATTCTTTATCAATAAGTACCTGTTTTCTCCTTTATCAATAAGTACCTAGTTTATCCTTTATCAATAAATTCCTATTTTCTCCTTTATCAATAAATTCCTATTTTATCCCTTTTGCTGTGTCTGGTCCGTGTTCCAGGTCAGCCTTTCCAGCAGCACCATTGCATTCAACGGGTTCAGACACCAGGTTAGGCAGCGTTTAACATCAGATTAAACTTTGGGAGGGGGGGGAAAAATCAAGGCTCAGCTTTTAACAGACCAACCTTGGCCTCTCTGCTTCTTCTCCTTCTGCTCGCTGAGCTTCTCCAGGGGCAGGTTGGTCATCTCCACGCCGTACACGGTCCTGGCCAGCACGGCAGTCAGCGAGTCCATGATGCTGGCCCATTCGGTGATGAGCTCCTCCCAGTGAGTGAGGGAGGAGAGCACCCGCAGCAGCTCGTCCCACAGCTCCCGGGAGATGTACACGCTCAGGCTGGCCCTGATCCAAGCCACCAGCAGCGTCTGGATGGAGGGGAGGGGAGGGGGACAGCAGCTCAGCCCAACCCTCCTGGAGAGGCACGAGTGATGGGCATCCTCCAAAAAACAGCCTCGCAAAGAATTAGTGATGGGGGAGATTGAGGGGAAACCTCACCCCGGGCAGCCTGCAGGAGGCACAAATCCGCTTTATTTATGGCATGAGTCTCCCCAGCAAACAGATCCTTGAATCTCACACTTCAGAGATGCCCACGGGAAACACCCCGCGTGTGCCACCACGGTTTGGGACACAGCAAGCCCAGCTCGCCCTCTGCTAGTCACAGCTCGCTCACAGCAGGATTCCCCAGCCCTCCCGTACAGATGTGGGCAGCTGTTTTCGGACACAGCACGACCCCCAGCCCCCCAGAGACTCACCCTGAACAGCAGCCCCGCCAAGCTCTGAGCGAACGAGTCCTTGGCCTGCCCCTCCTGGGGCTTCTGCATCACGGCCTCGGTGATTCTGAGCAGGATCTGCAGCATCTGCTCCCTGAGCCCAAGCACAGAGGGGGCTGTTGGCTGTGCCTGCCCTCCAATCCTGCACCCAGGGCCTGTTTGCCGAGCATGCAGGCTTTGGATTGTCACACCTTTTTCCTCCCAGGTGATGCTGTGGGCACCTACCAGGTTTTCCTGGTCATGGGCAGCTCCATGATCATGCGCCTGAAGATGGCGAGCACGGCCTTGCAGGCATCCACCTGCTCCTTGAGCAGCACGGGCACCTCGGAGCACGGCTCCAGCAGGAACACGTTGGCAGAGTTGGTCAGGAACACCTGGCACGGGCAGGCATTGCACAGTGAAAACAGCATAAAAAAAATTTGTAAAATATAAAATAAAATATACAGCAAAATACCGGGGCAGCCTCAGTTACACCTTTCCTCAGAGAAGGTCCACGTTTCACCCACCACTTGTTTTTCCCGTGTTATTCCAGCCAGGTGCCCTCACAGGAGCCCCCGAGGCTCAGGATGGGGTTTGGGGGTGTCCCCTCTGCCTGGGCAGGCAGGAGGACATTGCTGCAGCCACTCATCTCCTGCCACCACAGGCTTAAAAAACACCCACCGCTATTTCCCATAAACGAATTTCAGCAAAAAAAACACAAACAAACAAAAATGCATGGTTCTGATTAACCCCTAGTACTCACAGGAGGAAAAAAATTTATGTTAAAATACAGATCTCAGGCTTTCAGCAGTTTACAATCCGTGTTTCAGAGTGATAGATCAGGTCCAAACGGTGCCTTACAGAACCCACCAAGCCTCTCTCCCTGCACCCCAGAGACCGAAAAGGACCTGGATTCACGAGACCAGGCGCCCCCAGGTGTCCCCCTGCCACCAGCTCACCTGCAGGGCCGCCTGGGCGCCAGCCTTGACGTCCCTGTCGTCGTCCTCCAGCACACAGCCCCTGCTGACAGCACTGCTGAAGGAATAACTCCTGCCCCAGCTGGAGGAGCGCTTGTGGCCAGAGGGCTCCGAGGAGAGCTGCCAAAAACGGCCTGGGTGAGCCACGGGGCACAGGGGAACAGCCCAGGGTGCAGCACAGCCACCCCTGGGCTACCAAACACATTTCCAATCCTCCCCTGCGCTCCAAGTGCCTCTCAGTAACTATTTCCATTGGGAAATATCCTTCAATAAAAGCATTTTTTTAACCCTTGCTCCCCACGGATTTGGAACTGCCACTCCCTCTAGAGAGGGAGGTGAAGAGCCCCACACTGCAGTGCACGAAGTAAGGAACAGGATACCATACATGTTTACCGTCTGTTTGCACTGGCGACTCCTCCAGGGCATCGGCAGCATCCTGGCTGTCCTCCTTCTTGTCGGGCTCCTCCATGAACACGGGCTTCTCCTGCAGGATCCACTTCTGGTACACCTTCACCACCTTGCGGGTGGCAGAGATGTCAGAAGGGGGCAGGAGGAAAGCCTGCGAGGGGAAATGCAGCGAGTTCAGCCAAGAGAGGGCACAGACAAACACACCCACACCCCACAGATGTGGTGAACACACACACACACACACCCCACGCTGTCCCTTTAGGCAGCAAGCCTCAGTTCCCACAACAATCCCAGAATCTGGTCGTTAAACTCAGACCTAGGAAGCAGCCTGACCTCAGAGGCTGCTGCTGTGACCTCCCCAATCCTGCCCAGGGACCCCCCAGTCCTGCCCAGGGACCACCCCCAATCCTACCAAGTGATCCCTGAGCCCCAATCCTGCCCAGGGACCCCCAATCGAGCCCAAATCCTGAACAGGGACCCCCTAGCCCTGCCCAGGGACCCCTGAGCCCCAGTCCTGCCCAGCGACCCCCAATCCTGCCCAGTGACCCCTGAGCCCCAAGGCTTCCCACTGACCCCCCAGGCTGCCCAGTGACCCCCTGAGCCCCAAGGCTGCCCAGGGACCCCCCCAGTCCTGCCCAGGGACCCTCCCAGGCTGCCCAGTGACCCCCCTGAGCCCCAATCCCGCCCAGAGACCACCCCAAATCCTGCCCAGAGACCCCCCAATCCTGCCCAGGGACCCCCAATCGAGCCCAAATCCTGAACAGGGACCCCCCCCAATCCTGCCCAGGGACCCCCCCCAGTCCTGCCCAGGGACCCCCCCAGGGTGTCCCAGCCCCGCTGCCCCCCCAGGCAGGGTGCAGGGCACAGCGGGGGTGGCGCTGGTGGCAGTGACCTGGCGGAAGACCTCGTTGACGAAGTTGACGTATCCCCGCGTGGAGAGCAGGATGCGCTGCACCATGGCATAGAGGCCGCGGTGCTGCTCCTCCACGCTGCACAGGCTGCAGCTGCTCAGCCTCCGGTCCCACACGCCGCTGCTGCCACCGCTGGGGACACGCTCCTGCTCCCCTGCCACCCCCGCGCCGCCCTCCTGCTCCGA